TATATATATATATATATAACATATATATATTGTATCAGGGGTTAATAATGACAAAAGAATTTGACACGTATTTGATGCTGATTTCATTACATTAATTTTGTCTTACGAATTTGATGTGAATAAAAATTTAAATGTACCATACAAAATTTGTCATTATTAACCCCTGATACATTATATATGTATAATTATATACGTTATGTAGCGTGACAATCTAAGCAGCAGCCCTACCCCTCTCTCGCTCCTCAGCAGACGCCGGGGCCTTGTTAGCTAGCAAGATGTCATCGATTCAGGTAGCGCTTTGTGCATTACCGTAGATTTACGGCTGGCGCATGTAGGGCAGTGTTGACACAGTTTTACATTTCAATGCGGTGTCCTGATATTTCTATTGTCATTTAAATGGCTGTTTTGGCACGTACTGGGTCCCTAGGGACCGAATTCCGTCACCTGCTGAAATATGTATACATGCAGGCCTGTGAGTGTGTGTGTGCATCGGGTAAGCTTGCGTGCTGAGATATCCCTGCCATATAGCTCACACACGGAACCAGTTCTTTGTTTGAACAATCCATTGTTAGGCTTCAACGCGGCAGTGAGTATCAAATATCTGTAGTGTAGCAGCTGTTGCTTCAGTAAAGTCTTATCGAGACGTATACGTAGTGCGCATGCGTGCGTGCGCGTGTGTGCGCGCCCGCACGCATGTGTGAGAGAGAATTATAGAAATAAGTAATCTACATATGTATCAGGAGTAGATAATAGGGAATTTATCTATTATCTACTCCTGATATACATGTATGGCTTTGAATAGGAAGTCCGCTTGCAGCAAACAGTTGAGAACTTGAGACACATGAAACCTCAATGTTCGCTATAGAGCATAATTGCGCCTGTCGTCATTATAATATGTACATAACAGACATCAGGAGTTAATAAAGACAACATTTATCTTTATTAACACTTGCAGACATGTATATATCATAATAAATTTATTACTGCATCCCATTTTCAGATCGCCTACACACGTCGAATGGAGCAAAATTGTATTACTACTTGTGACACTAGTAGTATACAACTAGAGCTATAACAAGAGCTATAATACATTGTATTACAATTTAATGCAATTGTGATTACAATGTATTATTATCTCTTGATATAAACCAAGTATAGATAAGCGCTGTGTGGTTACACGTAGCCGTGTTACGAAGACATGAGAGTCGCATGTTGCCAAGCATCACTTACTGCGCACTTCTATCAGGCTGACTCCGATGTTGTTGTGCTGACATGCGTGAGAGTGGCGATTACAATTTACATAGACAGCTCGAGGCAAAGCAATTTTGGATTGCTCCACTCTGCTACGTTTACACAACCTTGGTTTAGTGATCAACGTATTGTTATAATACTTAACAAGAGTCATATAAATTAGATTTATACATCATGTCACTACTAATAGTATCAGTAGTGATATAATTTAGATGTCACTACTGATAGTACTTATCGATACTGTCAGGAGTAATATAATTTTGATTTATATATCATGTCACTACTGATAGTAGCGCATAACGTTACAGACGCGGAGTGCGCGTACGTCCGTCAGTCGCTATCCCCCCGGAAATATATGCTGCCTACAAGTTTAGAAGTTGCAGTTGCTCGCCTGCTAAGTGCAGGCTTTTAACTGCCGCTGCTCGCAGAGATCCGCCTGTACGCTTCCTTCGGCAGGTATATGCTGGTGGTGCGATAACCAGCTAAAACCTGCATGCATGCTCAGCATCTTCTAATGCGATCGCGATGAAAACCGCACGAGTTACAAAAAGCTACCATTGAAAGATGTAGCGCGATGGATAAGGTTGAGAGCAAAAGAGAGAGAGAGAGAGAGAGAGAGAGAGAGAGAGAGAGAGTGAGAGGGAGAGAGAGAGAGAGAGGGGGGAAGAGAGCGAGAGAAGAGAGAGATAGAGAAAGGGAGATAGAGAGAGAGAGAGAGAGAGAGAGAGAGAGAGAGAGAGTGAGAG